TACAGTACATCTTCCCTTCTTGATTCATGCTCCACCTCCTCAGGCACCTTCGGGAGGCAAGAAGGAGGAGATCAATGCTTCCTTTTACATTAGTGGGTAAACTGAGGCCCCAGCGATAGCCCAAGTGTCATCAGAGCTCAAACAAACAAGGTTTATTTTTCTCATAAGAAATTCGGAGGTAGCCAGGCCAGGGCTGGATCATTGCTGTACCGTTCTCAACGTCCACCTCCTGGTCTGGGCTCATGGTGCATTGCCGTGTTACAAACTGCCCCCAAACTACAACCATTTTATTTTATTTTTTTACCATTCTGTGAGTCAGAAACGTGGACAAGGCTCAGTCTGGTGATCTGTCAAGGATCCATGGGATCAGAGTCACTTGGTCACATTTGATCTACACTTAAGCCCATCTGGAAGATCCAGATGGTTATATTTGGTTAACTGGTGACTTATTGTGGGTGAGAGGAATACTGTGCTCAGCTGGGTCCCTCTTGATGTAAACCCAGGGCCCCTCCAGGTGGCCACTCCAGCAGGGTTGCTGACCTCATAGCAGCTCATATCTTTAAGAGGCCATGGCAGAAGCTGCCAAACCCTTCAAGGATTAGGCCTAGAGGTGACTTAGCATCATTTTCACCTACTCTATTGGTCCAAGTAGTCACAGTCCAGCCCAGATTCAAATGCAGAGAAAATAGACTCTTTCTCTCCAGGCATTTTTAATGTACCACGTGACCCAAGATGGCTGCTTGAGATGTAGCCACCACATCTCATATTCCAGGCAGCACGAAGAAAGGGAGGGGGGCTGGGGATGTGGCTCAAGCAGTAACGTGCTCGCCTGGCATGCGCGGGGCGCTGGGTTTGATCCTCAGCACCACATAACAAAATAAAATAAAGATGTTGTGTCCACCGAAAACTGAAAATAAATATTAAAAAATTTTCTCTCTCTCTGAAGAAGAAGAAGAAGAAGAAAGGGAGGCATTGAAAGACATTTTCTAGAAGTTACTTGCAACATTTCCCACTGGCTGGGACTCACATGGCTATACCTAGTGCATGGAAGGGAAGCTAGAATCTAGTGTTTATTCCAGGATGACATGTGCTCGGCTTAAAATTAGGGATTCCCTTGACTAAGGAAGAAGAAGAGTATGGCCACTGAGAAAGAACTAGAAATTTGTTCCACCATTGGATTTTTTTTCTACCAAGCACCAACTACATTCCCAGCAGATATGTTACACTCTCTGTCCCTCCTACTACAGCCCCCACACTGTCATCAAAATCATCTTGCCTTTATTATTATGTCTTGTTTTCCTAAAAGGCAAATCTTCGGATCATTCCCATGCCAACAGCAAGAATCTGGAGGTTTTCTTGTGAGGACCAAGAGATTGTCATTCTTGAAATGACGATAATGACATCCACCACACGGCAGGCGAAGCACCAAGCTCTCTAAAAACACATCTCGCTCGATGTGCACCCTAACCCACTGAGGAGGGGTCCCGGGTGAGGAGAGCCAATGCCAGAGAGCTCAGGCAACTTGATCCAGGTCACACAGTGAGTAGGTGAAGACCGAGATTTGAGTCCTCAGCTGTCAGAGTGGAGCTGTGGGCTGACGTGCCTGCACCTGGGAAGGCCGGGCCCTGCTGAGAACGAGCAAGGCCCGGGCTTGGCGTGTGTTCTGGCGGACACACACAGGTAAGCCGAGAGCCACAGCCTCTCCCTTGGCCCCTGTGGTTTCCTGGGGTGGAAAAGCCTATATCCAGCCCAATTAAAGGAGTCTCTTTCCACCCCCAGCTCCAAAACACTCTTCTGACACCAGTTCTTGCCTTTGTTCAAGAACCTACAACGAAGCCCAGACCTCCTCAAGTTCAATTTTTCCCCTGCAAAGAGGAAGGGGGAGGAGAAAGAGATAGACAAACCCAGGTTCCTCTCCTGCTTCTGCCCTTTTAACGAGTTTCGGTTTCTGCATCTGTCAAATGGGAGGGAACAGTCCCTGCTCTGTTAGCCAATCACAATGCTGAGGCCCACATGGGAGAGCTGAGCCAGCCTCCCCAGGAGACCCAGAGGGCTGCAGCCCCCACTTGCATACATTATCTCCTGGGGGTTAGGGAGGTCTGAGGTTGGGGGCAAGGTCAAGGAAAGCACAGCATCTCTGGGGGGCTCCTGTTCACAGCCTCACTGAGGAAGTGGCCCTGGGTGAGCATTTCATAGGGGTGCCCTGGTGGGGGGCAGAGTGGCCAAGACCACGGGGTCTGGAGTCAGACATACCAGTGTTGGAACCAACCAGTCCTTACTGGCTGAAGGGCCTTTAGAGAGATTGTAGAATTTCTCTGTACTTCATTCTCACATCTATAAGGGGGGACTGAAAGAGGCCCTATCTCTTGAGGATTTTGTTAGGAATCAAGTGAGAATGTGCCTCGAAGTACCCAATTGAATACAGATGAACCGATGGACCACTGGGAATGATAACGCTGGCTGGCACTTTTTGAGTCCTCATTAAATTCTGTGCTATGAATAGTTCATCGATTAGCTCATGTATCCCTAGCCATACTCCTAAGACGTTAAGTAACATTACTATTTCCTGCTTATAGATGTAAAGATGGGGATGAGGGCTAGGCACGGTGGCACATGCCTGTAATCCCAGCAGCTTGGGAGGCTGAGGAAGGAGGATCAAAGCCAGCCTTAGCAAAAGTGAGGCACTAAGCAACTCAATGAGACCCCATCTCTAAATAAAATACAAAATAGGGTTGGGGATGTGGCTCAGTAGTCAGTATCCTTGAGTTCAATACCCAAAAACCCCCTCAAAAAAAGATGGGGATACAGAGAGGTCCAGCAAGCTGCCCAAGCCCACATGGTGAGAAATGGTGGAGGCTGAACTTGACCCTGAACCCAAGCTGTCTGATGCAGAGTCGGCCTCCATCGATACGCCACACTGACAGGATGATGGCGTCCTTACCATTGCTGACTCTGACTGTGGACCCACTTCCTCCATGACCACCACAACATCTGATTGGAGCAGGAGGAGTCACCTGACCCACAGGCTGCCCATCGTGTAGCCAGGTTGCAGCTCCATCCATCCATGCGTTTCAGACGGTGAAGACCAAGCCCAGCTCCCGACAGGCCACGAATGAACTCAGCCCCTGCACACTGGATCTCCAAGAATCTTTTCCAGGGGCTCAGCTGCGTTCTCTGGTGTCTAGCCAAAATCCCTGCCGCTTTGCAACCACTCTTTGGCTGGGGGTCATCAGAGGGGTTTTGCCCTTTGCAACCAAGCAGCCTGGCTCAGCCCTCCCCTTTCACTTTAGGGCAACTGAAAACCCAAAGTGGCAATGGAGAGGGCTGTGGCACCAGGACGTCCCTTGGCATAGCCTGCAGGTGAGGAGGCCCCGAAGACCTGGCGCTGCTTTCCATCTGCAGTAATGCCCTTTGTGGTCACCCCCATAGGGGCAACTCCAGACCAGTCCTTTCCTCCTCACTACGGACTCACGGCCAGCTACTGACTTTACAGCTCCTTTTTTGTGTTACAGGCGCCTCACGTGAGATCTAAGACACACTCCCATCAGGTATTTGGGACCAATTTTCTGCAGTTTGAAATTGTTGAGAGAGAGAGAGAGAGAGAGAGAGAGATTGATTTTCCCCAGTTCTTTCTGACCCTGGTACTTCCCCAGAGGACTTCCTGTCGCCCCTCTTCCCCACCATCATCCACCCCAGAACTTCTTTGTTCCCCTGGCCTCTGGTTTGAGAAGAGAGCAGCTCAGCTCTGCCCACCCATTAGTCAGCACACTGGAGTCATCTGGGGACACAGAAAACCTTTGATGCTCAGGTGTCCACCCACCCTGCCCACATGCACTCACTCACACTGGGGTCCAGGTACTCTGGTGGGGGGTGCTGGGTATTGATTGTCACAAATTGCTCCCCAGGTGACCCTGGCCCTTGCTGGAGTCGAACAACAACTGTGTCAACCCAGACTCATCCTGAACCCTCAAGGCCCTCAGGGGCCTCCTGTTAAGCAGGTCCAGCCTCCTTAGAAGGCAGTGTCACAACTTTGGTTTTGGGGAAGGGGGAAGATCTAGGAGTTGAGCCCAGGGATGCTTTGCCCCTGAGCTACATCCCCAGCCCTTATTATTTTTGAGACAAGTTCTCCGTCAGTTACTGAGGCTGGTCTTGAACCTGCGATCCTCCTACCTCAGCCTCCAGGTGCTGGGACTGCAGGTGTGTGCCACGGCGCCCAGCTTAGCCACATCTTTTGTTCCCTGACCACATCCCTGGGGTTCCACCACAGCTGCCTGAAGGACTGGAAGCGATGTTTCCTCCCAACCAGATGATGATGAGCCTCATTCACCACCAGGGCTCCTGGAGGAGGACGGTGCCCGTTAGCTTACGCAACAACACGGGTTCACGGTTGCCACTTGGGGAGCGCAGAGGAGCCCACGGGAGCCGACCACAGCCTGGCTTAGGACCCAGGAGTCCGTGAGCAGAAAGGAGCCATTGTCCCCTAGTCACTTTAAGGGAACAGCTTAAAAACACATTCAAAGCGCCCTGATGATAATGAATATGCTAATGTGGTTTCCATCAGGCTCTGGCGCTACCTCCAAAAACCCGCTTTCTGACCTTCCTTCTGGATTCAAAGCTTCCATTGAAGTCGACGGGGGATTTGGGTGAAAATAACATGAAAGTTTTCACTTGAATGGACAGAACTGGGGAGTAGTGAATTAAAGGTGAGCTTCACATTGGCCCTAACAGCACCGACCTTGAGGGGGAAGTGCTGGCTTCTAGTAGGTTCTGCGTGGACCTTCGGGCCAGATAGCTCTTGCCTTCGGGTGGACCCAGCCAGTAAGCTTTAATCGAGGGTCCCTCTTGGATGACAAATAAGCTCTGGAGGCCTGGACTCAAACGCCAGCTCCTCCACTCACTGGCTGGGTGACCTTGGGCAAGGCAAATCACCTCTCTGATCAAACTCAACTTCCCCATCTGTAAAATGGCATGAAAGATGCCTTCCTAACTATCATTGTTACCTACAGGAGAAGCCTGTTTGTGGGAGGGATCAGGGAAGGGTCTTGCCTCTCCTGACCCTCCGACCCAATAGAGGCACAGCAAGGGTGTGGAGACCCAGGCTCCCATCTCCAGGGCCAGGCTCTGAACGGGGCTGCCACTCTAGAGGGACAGATGCACTAACCGTGGGAACAGAGGAAGAATATATTAGTGCCATGGAGAAGAAATGAAAGGGGCAGAGTTTTGGAATCAGGCGGACCTGAATTGAAATCCCAGCCCTCTCCCGGTCGGCTGTGAGTCTAAAAGGGTCATTTTATCTCCCCCACTCTCCTGTGTTCCGTAAGACACATCCATCATTCTTCCACCCACTAAACCAATATTTATAAAACTCCGTCTTGTGTCAAGCACTGTTTTGAGGGCTGGGGGTGGGGACCGCGATGGATGGAGCCGCTGAAAATTCTTGTCCTTGGAAACTTAAAATCTAGAAGAGAAAAAACAGACACTCAACAAACACACAGGCATCCCTCGGTATCCAGGACCCCCTTGGATACCAAGTCTAAGAATGCTGAATCATTTATATAAATTGGTGGAGTATTTGTACTTAAAAGAAAACCTATGCATGAACTCCTACATGCTTTAAATCACTTCTGGATTAATTATAATCGCAAATTAATAATTCTAATAATTCTAAGGAGCTGTTATACTGTATTGTTATGGAATGATGACAAGAAAGGTGTTTTTTTTTTTAAAACAATTTCAACCTACAGTTGTTTGAATCTGTGGTTGTGGAACCCATAGATACAAGAGGCGGACTAATTTAAAAAATAATAATAGGGGGAGTTAGTCACATGGGTATCTGGAAAGAATATTTCCAGCCAAAGAGGCGGAAAGGCCAAAGGCCCTGTGGCAGGACCAAGCCTGGCTAGTGCAGGAGTTGGAGAATCAGCATGGCCGTTGTTCAACAGATAGCAGTTATTCTTCACAGTCCTCTCATAAAAGTTGGGGTGAACCTACTTTCCACCGTCATAAAAGGTCTTGGAGGCTCTGTAGGTTGGCAACTGTTTGGTTCCCTTTCCCTCTTGTTTTTCTGAGTGACGATGACCCGGCTGTCCTTCCAGCCAGCCTCTCTGCCTCCAGTCCAAAGTGAAGCCATAGGAATGTGTGACGCAGGGCGGTGCCAGGGAGGGGGTGCGCTGTGACTGATGGCTAATGAAGAAAAAGGGAGCGACTTGAATTCCTTCCCCTCCAAAGCCTCGCAAATTAGACGCCCAAGAAATGCTGTGCCCGTCGCCAAGATGCACCTCCATCTGGGGTAGAAGGCGACATCTGCTAAACAGCTGCATCTTGTTGGAGAGCTGGCACTTAATTAAATTACTCAGCTCTGGCACGGGCAGGCGGTGCTGATCGGAAGGGGCGGCGCTGCCCCCTTCCCCAGGGGCCCAGACTCCTCTCCCCAGGGTCCGCCCACAGTGGCTGAGCCAGCCACCCCCGGCCCTCAGCTCCCCAGCCAGGGCACGCCCACTGGAGCTCCCTCCTGGTCTCCACCCAGCTCCTCCATGTCCTTCAAAAGGCCCAACTCCAGCCCCGGCATCTCCTCCCAGAGGCCTCTGGTCACCTTCGGGGACAGACAAGGACCTGCCGTGGGCTGGAGCTGTCTGTGTTCCACCACGTGGCAACTTTGCCAACCCCGCTGTTTGGCGAGCTCCTCGTGGTTGAGAACCGTGTTTAATCCATCCTTGTAACCTCAGCACTGCGGCCAACTCCCCTTAACACTTAGTAGGTGTTCAGTTAATTGGTGGATGGATAAAGGAAGGGAGGGGAGGAGGCAGAGATGGAAACGCAGGAGGGAAGACGAAGGGATGGAGGAAGAGATGGATCTTCTGCCGTCCTCGTATCCCCTGGAAAATCGATTTGGTGATCTTCCACTGGGCCAACCTCCACTCTTGCCCCTGGTCATCCATTTTACTCAGAGAACTTGGGAATCTTTTAAAGATGGACTTACATTGTCTTGTTTCCCTGTTTAAGGCCTTCCAGCAGTTCCCACATTCCCAGCCCTGATCTCCAAACCCCTGTGGGATGCGGACCCTTCCTCCCCCTGAGATCTCATGTCCTCACTGTCTTATGCTCCAACTACCCAGAAAATCTGCCTGCTCCCTCTGGCCTCAGGACCTTTGAACCCCCCAATCCCTTTGCCTGGGGCTTGCCTTCCTGGCTCTCTGCCAACCCCGCATGCTCTGCGGTCTTCAGGTTCAACCTGGTGTCAACTTTCCTTACTCTCCCATTGACATCTCCGCCATCTTGGTTCCCAGGGGCTAAGGGGCCTGACCCAGCCTACCAGGGCTTTCCTTGCCAATAGTCAACCTGTCCTCCAGAGCACCGGCCTTCGGCCTGACGGTGGCACAGACCTCCCCCAGGGCCAGCCACAAGCCACCCCCAACCCCCATCCTCACTCTTCCTCTCCATCAACTGAAGAGCCTTCCTGAATGGGCTCGTCTGGAGCTGCAGCTATTAAACCATCAGAGCAACGTCGGGCCATTTGTTGACTGTGGCACTTAGAGCTGCAATGGCTTCTTGTTGGACTGTTACTATTTTCAGCTCCGTTTCCTAGGGGTAGTGAGGAGAGGGTAGGCAATGAATCTATTCAAGCAAAACGATGCTTCCGTGAATCCTAGAATTTCAGAGTCATGGAATAGTAAAAGCATCCTCAGGGAATCTAAGAGCAGCGAACATCTCGACTCTGGATTAATGGTTCCTAGATTCCTGGGATTCTAGACTCAACAACAACAACAAAAAAATTAAAATCTTGCAGTCAGACCAACGGGGACTCAAAATCTAGAGGGACGGGATCCCAGGAGACCCTCAGATTGTTGAGTTCTGGACTCCCGTGTCCCCTCCTCAGAAAGCCTTTTCTGAGCATGTCATCCGCCATGTGCCACCCGCCCCCTCCCCCGCCCCATGCCCTGTCACTTCCTGTGGCTTCTCCCTTGTTCATTTTTCTTCATAGCACTGATCACCACCTGACATGAAAGATCTCTCTGCTTATTTGTTTACCTCCCGTCTCCCCCACACACATTAGATTGAGGTCAGGAACTTTATTTTGTTCACTTTTAGAACAGCACTTAGAAGAGTGCCTGGCATGTAGTGAAGGCTAAAAAAAGAAAGGGGGGAAAATGGTCCATTCACCAAGTATTTATTGCGTGTCCATTTCCAGTCGGTGCCTTAGAGGGGATCTTGTCTGGGCACGGGAGGTGGGTTTCATTTTGCAGGCCAAATGTAATTGGGAGTAGACACTCAAAGCACAGGGCCCTAAAGGATCCTCAGGACTCATCCGAGGGGCGTGGGGAAGGACATGGATTGACCATGTCTGGCATGGACCCAGCAGGGAGCCATCAGCCAGGTCTGCTAGGGCTTCTAAGCTTAGCACAGGGGTGCACCAGGCTTGGCCAGCTTGGGGGTGCTACTGCCAGGATGGAAGCCCCCATTGTTCCATCTGTGTCCTTCATCCTCGCCTCCCAGGACTGGACCCTGAGCCTGGGTCCCTAGGGAGGGCACTGTGTTGGCCTCCCCTCCCCTGTCAGCCTCAGGCTCTCCCTCCCCCCAGGCCTTTGGGGGTTAAGGGGCTGCGGGAGTCCCTGGCCCTGAACCCCAGCCTGGGAACCCAATTCTGGAATACTGCCTGAACGCACAAGCCAGTTATTTTTAAAAATCCAAAAAGAAAAAGAAGAAAGAGAAAACTCACTGCCTCGGTCCCTGTACCAGCCCTGGCTGAGAGAATAGAGACTTGAAAGGAACAAAGGGTTTCCTCAAACACGGCAGATCAAGGGCTTGGCTTATGTGGTAACCGGTAACCGACCACCGCGCTTTGTGACAGATCCTTCAGAGCCCGCGGCCTCTGTTCCCGCCGCAGTCTTGGCAGGAGGGTGGGGGGAGTTCGGGACACCCTCCTGCCCCCCCCCTGAGGTCGGGCTGCTTACAATCATAGACTCTGAGAACCCCTGAACGTCAGGGACTCAAAGGCCCCTGGGAGTCCGACCCCCCCACTCAGGCAGCTGGGCAGGCAGAAGCCCTGGAGAGGCTCAAGGTCACTGGCAGACCAGTGAAGTGCACCAGCCCCTCTGCTGCCTGCTGCCTACTGCACCCACCACGGCTGCCTGAGAAGGCTGTCTAGGGAACCCTCCCACCCACGAAGACTTCCCGCTCCCTCCCTCCTCTGGATTTTCCCTTTTGAGGTACCTGTGGGGTATGGCTCTACCCCAGGTCTCCAAGGTCAGTGCTGGTCAACTGCAAGATCACAAGAGGATGATAGTTGAGCCCCAGATTCCAGGATGCAAGAGGTCAATGGACTTACGGTAGACACCTGCTGTCCCCAGAAGATGCCTCATGTAGGTGCTATGGCACCCCAGGACATAAGTATTATCGCCCTCACTTTTCAAATGAGAAAGCCAAGGCTCCAAAAGACTGAATCAGGTGCCAGAGGTGACCCCACAGGGACTGGCAGAACTGAGGCCGATTCTGGGCTGCCAGGGCCATGTTCCCCTCTGTGTACCAACGACTGGCCATGCCTAGCTCCAGGTGTGGGACTGGGGTGCGCACCGGAGGGAGCAGGCTGGGAGTGAGGGGCTCCCCTCCTCCAGTGTCACCATGCATGGGAACCTGCTCCACCCATGCTCTACCCTGAGGTGGCAAGACCCCGGGCCCTGCCCACCCTCCTGCAGGTCACTGGCTCACTGGGTCTTGCTCTTCTGCCTCCATCTCTGACCTAAGGTCTCTGGCTCTTTTCTACCCCATCTGTCCATCTGTGTCATCTCCATTCTGTGAGCCCCCACCCCCGTGACTCTCTCTCTGTCTTATTTTCTGCCTCTGCCTCTTCCCCTAACCCTCCGAGTGTCTCTATTCCTGTTTTCCTTTTCTGTCTCTCTGCATCTGTGTGCTACTTTCTCTCTCTCTCTCTCTCTCTCTCTCTCTCTCTCTCTCTCTCTCTCTCCACATTCCATCTCCCCTCTCCCAGCACTACAGGGTGTCCCTCAGTGTCACTGACTCGCTGGGTCCCTCCCTGTTGACACTCTCTTTTCCCACTTCAGTCTGTCCATCTCCCTCATCTCCATCTTCCCAAGCTTCCTGGGCCCTGCTGTGCTCTTCCCCACACCCCCACAGGGACACAGGACATTCCAGCAAGTCCTGCCTCCCAGCTGGGCTGAGGGGGGATGAGGAGAGGCTGGTCAGGGCCACCGCCAGAGGCGGCTCAGGGGCTGGGGTGCAGGATCTGTTAAAGGGAACTGAGCCATCCTCCTCCCTTCCTTCTCGGTTGCTTTCCTGGGAGGCAGAAGAGAGAGTCTCTGAATAGGGATTTAGAGCACTAAGCTCCGATTCCTTCTTTTTAATATTTATAAAGAGAGAAAGGGGATAATTTCAGGAAGATCATTTCAAGGCGAAAACCCACATATTTTCAATAGAATTATTCCAAAAACCCCTTTCCGGCTCATTGGAGTGTATAATTTTGTAAGTTGAAGACACACGAGGTCTGGTTTCCAAGTTCCCTAAAATGACGCAGCTAACAAGGCCAGAAAGGAAGTCAGATGAGAGGAAGTGGGGGAGGGTCGTGGGGGACGGGGAAGAGCCTGGGGGGCACACATGGGACAAAGGGACAGAAGCAGCCAGGGTCTCTGCCATGCCCCCTCCCCTCCATCTGTCTCCCTCGACAAGCCAGCCAAACTCAGGACCGTAACCATCATCAAACACCCAGCCCGGTCCTGAGACCTCCCTCCAGGTCGGGATCTGCCACGCAGATGCCCTCCGACTTCTCAAGTGCGGAGCCTCTGGGGCAGCTCCATCCCTGCATCTTCCTCCCTGGGACCTGTTGGAATCCCAAATGTCCCGCAAAGGCTCCTGGGTTGAGGTTTCGTCCCAAATGCAGCCATGTCTGGAGGCAGGGCTTTTGAGAAGTGATTTGGTTCCTGGGGGTTCTGACACCATGGGTGGATTGATCTGTTGATGGGTTCCCCGCCTGCCTCTGCCAGCCCGTCCCCACCATGATGTTCTGCCTCCCCACCAGACCCCTGCCACGGAACCAGCTGACTGTGGATGGAAACCCGGAGCCAAAATAAGTCTTTCCTCCTCTAAGTTCATTTCCTCGGGTATTTAGTCACAACAGTGAAGAACGGCTGACATTCTCCCCAAGCCTCTTCTGCCCTTGGGCTTGATCTCAACCATTCGGCTGCTCCGGAGGGCAATCGGGGAGTCAGGCTTGGGTCCTCCGTCTCCCCTGACTCTTCTAGTTAGCTGCCAAGACTCGGTGATTCTACCGACTTCAATCCCCAGGATCTTGCCCTCATCTGTACTCCCACTGCCCACAGGGGCCTCAGCGTCCCTGGCCTAGACCTCGGTCAGAGCTCTGGGAAGCTCTCTGGCCTCTCGCCTGTGTTCAGGCACAGAGTGATCTTCCTGGATCCCAGCTCTGAGGGTGACCCTCCCTTCCTCAGAAACAGCCACACCTCCCTCCACACCACCTCCCAGTGAGGTCAGATCCCCCACCCTGGTGTCCACATTGCCACAGCCTGACAACTTGATTTCCTTGTATCTGCCCTTCAATCTCCAGTTCTTTGCTACAGCTAAAATGGGCCACTCTTTTCTGTCCACTTAAAAGCACTGAGACACCATTTTCTACCTCCAAACCTTGGCAGAACCTCCTTCATTCCTCTGGAATGCCATCTTGGCCTGCGTGGCTCCAACCACCCTGAAGGTCCACTCAGATGCCACCTGTCCATCCAGCACTGATGTCCTCTTCACGGTCTTTGCTGCTGCTGGTGATCTTTACTTCTCTTTCACTCCTGACATGTCTTTTCACCTTGAACTCCAGACAAGCTGCAGGGCTTGAGAATACCTTGAGTTCTGTGGCTGGGACAGAAGGAAGAGGAAATATTGGACCACTCTGACATTCTCTGAAGTTGGACCAAGCTTGATTCTGTGGTTTCTTCTGGGTGCCTGAAATTGCAAGCCGGATCTCCTGATAGTAATTAGCTACCATGGCAATTAGCAATTTTATTGCAAAGGTCAAGGGCTGAGCACTGACGATGAGCCAGGGGACTATTATCACCTCGGTGGGATGGATGAAGAGACCGAGGCTCAGAGAGGCACAGAGACCTGCACCATATCACGCTGAGAATGGGTCAGGACTCTGGCCAGACCAGCCCAACTCTGGAATCCTGTGTTTAACCTCAGAAGCTGACATCGCATTATCAATGGGAACTGAGTAACGTGGTCCCTGACTCATCCTCACTAAGGGGGACAATTTCTGTGTGGCCACATTCCTCCCTGGGTCCCAGCTTCCCCATCTCCTCAGTCTTCAGTTCTCGTTTGAAAAACGCCAACCTTTCAGATTCTAGCCTGGCAAACCCCAGAGGCCCAGCTCGTCTTCCTTTACCTAGAGAAAAACCCATGTGAAGAGGTGAAGCCCAGACAGCAACAGAAGCCCACAGGGCAGGAGCGTGCCCCCCACCCCCCAGACCCCGTGCCAGACGGGTTTAACTTGACCATGGCTTTCCCTGGTTCATCTCTGGAAGCCCTCGGGGATGCTGTCAGGCGGTTCTCACTGAACTCACTACCCCTTCTGTCCCCCTGCAGGGCTGCCCCCAATTCCACCTCTCCCCCAGGAGGCTACGCTGGCTGGTGCTCCAGGCCTTATCTAACCCACAAGGTCTCCTCCGTTCTCAAAGCCCTTCGTGCATCCCATTCCAGGGAGAATAGGTCCCAAACGGCACGACCCTGCCCCAGCCTCCCAGGCTCCCACCCCCAGGCCTCCCAGGCTCTGTGCATTCCATCCTTTCAACAGGACCCAGGAAAAGCCAGGTGCTTTTCCTGCCCAGGGCTCTTGATCTTGCTCTTCCCTCAGTTCCTCTTCTGGCTTCTTCCCTTCTGTCTGTCATTCAGCTCAAAAATCACCATCCTGCAAGGCCGCTGCAGAGCCCAGTGGTCCATAGCAGTCCCTCCCCACACGTTGGTACAGCGCTCTGTTCATTCTCCGGTGACACGAGGTGGGACATCTGAGCGTTGCTAACATACTGTCCATCAGAGGAGTGACGAGGAGTGACAGCAGCTAAACAGCCAACTAAGAAGCCCCGAGTTCTTAGTCCTCCAGGGAAGCAGCTCACAGACCACCAGAGACTGTGGAACCAACAGAGCAGCCCATGGTGACAGCACCAAGTAAGCCTCCGATTAAGGAAAAGCCACCTTCAGAACCGTAGAAAAAGTTCTGTGGCACTTGTCCTCACCGGAGCCCCACCCTGTTCCTGGCACAGAAGGTGGAAAGGAGGTGACAGATCCCTTGTCAGAGCCCCTCCCTTGAGCCAGAGGGAGCAGGCAGACCTGCCTTAGGACGACCTGGGCTGTGGCAGGGCTGCCTGAACTGCTGTCTGCTTACCCCCACTCTGGCCTAAGCAGGGGACTCTGGTGGGCTCTGTTCATGAAAGCTGCCAAGAGACCCTGGGACGTCAGACGCTCAAAAGCAGCTGAGCACACGAGGAACCCAGAAAGCCCCAAGTAGGCTCAGGGAAGAGTTGTGCTCAGAAAAGACCCGAGAAGCCCCTGAGCTTCCACCTTGCTGAAGGGTCAGTCCACGACCAGTCTGCAAAGGTGGTCCAACTGTCAACAACAATAAAATCACAACAAAGAAACAGAAACCATGGCTCTTGCAAAGAAATAAAATAAAGCGACAGAAACTGTCCCCAGATATGGGACTTACTAGAAAGCCACCTTGCAACAACTGTCTTAAATATGCTCAAAGAGCTGAGAGAGAACAGAGAAAAAACTGATCGGGAAAATGACACATTAACCAAATGAGACGGTCAACAAAGAAATAATGGAATAAAAATAATTATGAATCCATGTTAGCAGGTACACAATATACAAAGATATTATTTTGGAGAGGATAGAGCTGGGCAGGGTGGAATTTTTATATGCCATTGAACTTGAGTTGATATCAATTCAAATAAGATTGTTATAAATACAGAATGATATATGTAATCCCCATGTTAGCCTTAAAGAAATATCTATTTTAATATGTATTTTTAAGTATCAGTAGACTATTTCTGTTACCCACACAACATATCTTAAGTACCTATAGAATATACACAAAGGGAAATTAGAAGGAAATAAAAAGACATCGCTACAAAAGTCAACTAAACTTGATAAAAGATTATAACCGAGGAAATGAGGGACCAAAAAAAGAACTATACAATGTGCAGGAAAAAAAAAAAAGTACCAGCAATTAGTTTGAATGTAAACTTTTTGATCAAAACGCATAAATTAATGAATGAGTTAAAAAGAAAAGATCCATGGTTATGTTCTCTACAAAAGACTCATTTTAGATCGAAAGATACAAATAGACTGAATGAAGAGAGCTCATGCAAATCGTAACCAAAAGAGACCCTGGTGGAGAGAGAGGATCTTCCAACGGAAACGCTGAGTCAAACGTGATCATGAGAGACAAAGGAGGACATTGTACATGCAAAAAGGTGTCAGTCCACCAGGAAGAAATACTGATGAGACACACACCGAGGAGCAGAGGGCTAAGCGTTGCCTGCCCGCTCAGGGTTAGTCCGGTGACTGCAAGAACTTGGCTCCAGAAGCCGGCACTGGAGCCTTATGCGCATGCGCGGTTCCCCTTATCCCTGGCAGCTGATCCCAGGGAAAGTGCGTAAGGTAGCATCTGCAGTTTGTCTCCAGGCCTCAGGCAGGAGCACGGGCCGCTGGCTTTCCTCACTTTCCTAGATGTCCCTTCCAGGACTTTGGTATCCTTCTTTGCTATTTATTCATGGGCCAATCTTGAGGATGGGAACAAAGGCACTTAGGAATTGTGGGCAAGTCCCATCTCCCCAGCCAAAAACCTAAAGCCACAAAATGTATCAGTAATTAGTTTGAATGTAAATGGATTAAACTTTTTGATCAAAAAGCATAAATTAATGAATGAGTTAAAAAGAAAAGATCCATGGTTATGCTCTCTACAAAAGACTCATTTTAGATCGAAAGATACAAATAGACTGAACGCCAGGGCTTGTAGATGCACATCAGGGAATCCAAGAGCCCAAGAAAAAGGGGTCCCACTGCAGGTCCGCCAATCTAAAGAGCTTGCATTACTTGAGGACACTGAGGACCAGAGACAGCAGGGGATCAGCTAAGGCCACACAGCAAACTAATGGCAGAGCTGGCATCCAGACCCAAGTCTGCTTCCGACCTGCCACAGGCTACTTCTCTATGGGGACTGCCCAGAGATTCCTCCCTCCCATTTTCCTATGACATTCGATTCTGTCCCCACCACGCAAGGCCTCCTTTTCTGGATATATCAGCTATACCATCTCATATAAAAATGGGTCCTTCTTTAAAAAGTACCTTTTAAAGTCCCATTTTACAGATAACTGAGCCCTGAGATCGAAGACCAGCTAATTCTCAACAGACAGGGTTAGTTATCCTAAGAGCAGGGTTTTGCAAAGCACGGGGTTCCCTTTGTCCCTGCCTCTTTTGTGCAAGCACCCGCACCCCTTCCTTCTCATCCCTGCATGAAGCAGCATGAAGGTGGCACAGGAAGCCCGACAGATGCCAGTGCCGTGCTCCTGCCTTCCCTGACTCCAGAACCTTGAGCTAAATAAACCAGTTTTCTTCATAAACCGCTCGGTCTCGGGTATTCTGTTATAACAACAGGAAACCAACCGAGACAAGCACTCATGGTCCTTAGCCAGCCTGCTGGCCCATGCCTTTGGCCTCTTGGCTGTCTTGGATCACGGAGTGGGAGTGCGTACGGCCCCCTGGGGTTGTGCAGGACAGCCAGAGTGTGTCCAAGTGTGAAGATTTTTTCAGTCCGCTTGGCATCACTGCTTTTTCCTCCAGGGAGCGAGGAGCGGTGTGATTTGGGGTGGGAAGACCCAGGATAGTTTGGCTCAAACCACCTGTGGGAGGCCCACTTCTGAAGGGGACAGGTGCGCCCAGGGAAGGGGCAGAACTGAACTACCGCCAAGGTGGTGGCTGAAATTTGGGTGGGGGCGGGGCTCAGAACTTTGTGGTTCTCCCCACCAATCAGCGCAGCCAGAACTGCGATCTAGAGAGCGCTGGGCGGGGCGGGGCCGGGGGTGGGGCCAGGGGTGGGGCGGTCCCGGGGCGGGGGCGGAGCAGGGGCAGGGCCGGGGCGGAGCCAGGCGGGTGGGTTCCCAGGGCAGGCGGGGCCCTCTGTCCTGGGAGCATTAGTCAGCTGGCTGGAAGCCCCACACTTAGGCCACCCTGGTCACTGTATCCTCTTACTTTCCTGTCAGTGAGGAAGCTGTTTACCCCCAGAAAGTCATTCATTCCCTGATAAGATCAGCCTCATTGTTAATGGAAATCTCACTTCCTGAGCGGGAGGAGGCGAAGGGTTAGCGGCCAGCGCTCAGAGCCCCATGGACAGCCTGCGGACAGAGGCCACCAGCCTCTGTGGCCAAAGGGAAAAAACTTAGGTCCAGAGAGAACGTTGGAGGTGTCAGCACCAGGGCAGAGTCCAAATCCAGCCCTGGACTCCCACACACCCCCCAATCCCAAGAGCCCCGCTCTGGATTTTCAGATTCAACACGCCATCCAAAGAAAACATGCTCATAAAACATTCCAACACAATGTCATATTTTAATGTAATGCTCTAATGTGCTATTATAACATTGCATTCAAATATAATGTACTAACACAGATTAATATTCCAATTCAACACGTTAGCACCATTCGAACCACCGTTCTAATCTAACACTAACACACATGCCCTTCCAACACACAACCTTATATAACACCCTAATACAATATTCAAAGACATCCCAGCACAACAGTCTCATCTAGGCTAATCACACCATATGACATTTCTTCAGTATTTGAACACAATTCTAACA